CATTAGCTCTTCTGAAATCAACAGTCATGGAAAATAAATCCCAGCCCATACTTAAGAAAAGCTGTGCAAAGTTGCAATTTTCTGTATGAAAAATAACAGGAAAAACCTACCAGGAGATGGGCTTGCTCCCCTGGTCGAAAGAAGAGGCAAAAAGCAGCAGCCAGTGCTGCTGAGACTGACAAGCTACAACTGCTGCACTCTGCTAACAAGTCCCAGGTGAGAAGCAGGAGGATAACCTGAGTGATGGGTGGTTCCTGGAAGTGGTCCTTGTCAAGGAACCTGTCACTGAGGTCCTGCCAGTCACCAGAGGAACTGCACAGAAATTATCACCTTGTATTGTGTGGACTGTTTCCTTTGCTCAGGGTGTCCTAGAGATGGACTTAACAAAAAAAAAAATCTTCAAAAAATATGTATCTTTGGTATGGACTGCTTTATGAAAACAGAACAAAACCAAAAAGAACTGTGAGCCATGCCATGAACTCTACTCTACAGTTTGCATTTTTTAAATTCCTCACAATGGATCTGGAATAAATCAGCAATGGGTCAAACCAGTTCAGAAAGTGTTTGAATAACTGCCCATGGAGTGCCCAGAGGTTCCCCGTCAGCTGAGTATTTTGACTGCTGCTGTTCAATTGCCATTTGAGAAAGCAGGACTGCTGGGAAAGACAGCACAACGTAAGACAACACAGGGTAAACCAACACTGGCTACAAAAGCACACAGTGTACCATATTCACACTGCACAGCCCAGGTCTCCGAGACGTTCCCAAAAGCAGCTTCACATCAATGCCCCTCTGAGCCAGCAGTGCTCAACGCAGCCAAAGGTAAGAGCCTTTCAACAAATCAGGAGAGCCCGAAATATCTCATTTTATCTCTATAATAGAAACAGTAATTGACAAATCATTATTTTACATTTATAAAATACATGATGAGGAACATACCACATGCATTCTAGACTTTCTGTCTGCACTGGAAATCAACTGGGAAATTAGGAGGTATGGCGTAGAAACATCACTACGAATATACTGTATTACTGCTTTTGCAGCTGCAGTCCCAGAATTTGTTTCACAATAATTCAGTTACCCATGTTTAAATAACCAGCCAGCAGAAGAAAGGCTGATATATTTCATATGCATTCTCTTTGAGCACGGGGGCCTTCACGTCTGGGCGAAAAATGTCAGGCTCATATGACACCACCAGAGTCAGGAGAGATGCCTAACCATAACTAAAAGCAGAATTTGGCCAACACAATTGGAAAATACCAGCAGAGTATATACAAATGCACACATGCAATCTCATAGAAGAGCAGAGTATGAGACAGATTGGATTTTTTAATCACACCTTTAAAAAAAACAAAATTTAACGTACAAACCCCTCACTGCACTCCTATGTAGATCCTTTATCCCGCTGCAACATAAACAGACATATCAGAGGTTGGAGCAGGGAATAAAGTTCTTTTTTCTCTTTTTTTTTTTTCCCCATTGAGGATTTTAAACAGTTTGAAAAGGAAAAGAACAGATCTGGCCTGCCTCCCAAACTGACTTCAATAATAGATAAACAATTTTAAGACTACCACAGTCAGCAAGTACATACATAAGCTATACATGAATATACTTATTTTTAAAAGAGCTGCATTTTTTCCCTTTTGTTTTCAGTTTCCTCTGCCATATAGTCCAGAAGCAAAAACTAGAAGTCTTTCCTGATTCACCAAAACCACACTTTGACAATGAATATCCTAATGGTTTAGATAATATTTCTCACAACTTCTTACCCAAAGGAAAGTAGTCTCTCAGCTTCAGTAACCAATTCCTACAAGTTTTGTGCCATCTTTGTAAGACCGTTCTATCAAACACATCCTTCAGAAAGGAAATATTTTAACTTGCATCCTGAATGCAGTGCCTGACTCGAAGATGCCATTCACTTCCTTCAGTCTCTCGCCTATTCCTGGTGCACTTGCCAGTAACACCCAGGGGCTTCAATATTTTGCAAAAACAGAGTGAATCTCAGTATTGGCAAAGCCATAACCAAACACAGATTCCAAGATATTACTAAAAAACCAAGATTCTGAAACAGCATTTTTCACAAAATTAAACAGATAAACTTTGGTGCAAATTAAAAACAACCCTCTTGTATCTGAGCCCATAATGACTATTTTGAATACAGATTATTTACTGCTGCCAATAAAGAAGTTTTTTGGTAACTTTTCTGTTATTGGGAAGAGTTTGAATACAATCCAGTCAAAAAAAAATGCTGACTTTCCTAAATAGGGGCTGTGTTTTTGCAATAAAGAATACTGGTCAATATACAAGTGAAGGAAAACTGAACCAGATGTCAGTAATAGGACCACAGAACGTTGCATTTGCCCAGAATCGCTATTTTAAACACACGATGTTGGTCTACTGGTTTGTGGGATAATACATTCTTGGCAGCCAGAAGGAGTTTTGATATGTTAGAAGGTTATCCTTGAGCAAAAAAAAAAAAGAAAAGCAGGAGAGAGGTAAAGAAAGGCCACTAATTCATCAAGTTACCTATAGCAGAAAAAAAATCATGACTAAAGAAATCAGTTCAAAGACAAGCCATTCTCAAAACAGAAAGCTTTGTTTTCACATTCATTTTTGTTTTCTGCTTTACCTCCTTCATATGAATACTTCATTGACACTTCATTGTACTTTGCCTTGGCATTTTTTAAGGATTCTTCCATCCATACACGTTCCATTTCACCTTGCAGCTCAGTTCAGTCAGACTGATGCAGGGGAAACCACCCCACATACAAACCAGACCGCACGAAACCCAGTCCCGGAAACTTTTCCTGTTGGAAACCTTTGCTCACATGAGGATCTTGCTGCCATCACTCAGACTGCTGGAGGAAGCTGTTCATGGGAGCAGGTCCCACTGTCCCAGAATCACTGTAGGCAGTCCTGGAACCATGCACACAAGGACCATTAACCCAGGTCTCTATCCACAGCTAATTTAGTACTTACCCATCTCTAAAATGCTTTCTAGTTCAGAGTCACAGGCATTTGTGATTCGGTTTTTGGTGTGTTGGGTTTTTTTCCTCTTAAATAGTAGTTAGATCTGTAAGCCTTCTTAATATAGAAATAAAACTTCAAGATGTACTTTGTACGTTTGGCGAACAAACACTTTGCTGTTTTACCATGTAGTAAATTTAAAAATCAACTCTCTTCATTGTTTTAACAAACCCTCCTCTGAAAGATAATTAAAACCACTTCCCAATATACAACCAAAGTTTTATTTTTATAGTCTATCTTCAATTATGGCATAATCCTTTTTTTTGTTTTAAACCAGTGAAATATACAAATCACACAAGACAGAAATATGTACATTAAATGTACAGAACAGAGGAAAGGACATAGAAGATTTACATATCTGAATGACAAGTAAAATATTTTACATTAAATAGTGTTTTAATAGCTAGGATCATGAGATTCAGTTCTGCTCAGACAAATGTCACTAAAAAGGAACATGAGGTGATTCAGCAAATGAAAAACAAGATCATGATTTTTGTACAATAAAAACCAAAGTGACATATTCAATGAATTAGTGCTTTATTTATTTCTCTTACTTTAAAGATACTCTTTGCAAACATCTGAAGATGAGGGGTAAATATGTCCTTGTACAATAAATTAAGAGCAATAAAGCGCCATTAAGAAGCTGATAAATGATCAAGATGAATTTAATGATACAGCTTAAAGGCTTGTGAAAAGGCAAGGTTTTAGTACAACTAGGCTAAAGTGAAAGATTTTCCTCACTTGGTATCTGCAAAACTATTTTCCTTAACTTGTTGAATGGGACTGAGTTGAAAAGAGGCATCTGTACCAAAGATGAAACCCTGTGTAACTACACAGAATAGGGGGGAACGCATATTGTTTGACAAATAACAATTTTCAGTTCAAAAACTGAAAAGCAAGGGCTAAATGCAGCACATTTTGGAGTTGGAAGGTGTCTCCTTTCACCAATAATCAATAATGCCCTTAACACGAGAGTGGAATAGAAGTGATCTCCAGACCAGTAATGACTCAAGTGCAGGGTGCTGCCTCTACCAACCACCCAGGAAAGTCCTAAAGTTGGGAAGAGGCTTACTTCTTTGTGATTCTCCTTAGAACTTTTGAATGATAAAAGCTTAAAAAAAACCCCAAAACAAAACCAAACACAAAACAACAACAAAAACCAAAAACAAACAACCCCCCCCCCAAAACAAAACAAAAACAAACAAACAAAAAACCATCCCAAAATAACAAAAACAAAACCACCAAAAGCTTGGAATCAATCTAAAAACCTGAAGAGATCTGAAAATGAGGGATGAACTGCCCCTGTAATTTTAGATGTTTTATTATTTTCTAAATCATTAAAATATATATGTACAAAAAGCTTTGAAGTATCAGACACCAGCAGACCACAGTTCTCCCATATATATGTAACTGCTCAAGTATAGTCTGAACAGTTGTAGTGTATATCTGCAATATATTATCTAAAGCATGTGTATTAAAGACATAGGATGATAAATTTGGTATTGCTGCAATGTTTCATTGAACTATAATAGTCAGTTAATGTTATTAAAATATGAAACTATTGTATCCTTGAGTGAAAGCGTTCCCAAAATCTGCGAAAAAAATAAAAATCAATCATTCCAAGAGCGGATATCTAACGATTTATTTTCTCACATAAAATTAGAGGAGTTATTTGTCAAGCTGTGTTTTGAAAGACAGCCAGCTATTACACCATTTTAAGGCATTTTCAAATTTGGGGAACTCTACTTTCCATGGGCTTTCCAGGCTGGGAAACCAAAGCTGTTTGTAAGCAGTGCAGCTCCCCTTGCCCAGCTACAGTGCTCCACACAGCCTGCCCTGGGCTGCTCCACACTCAGCAGTAGGGAAGTGCTGCTCTGTCAGACGAGACACTCCAACGTCACAATCACCTAACGAGGCCAAACTCTGCCTTGAAGCATATCTTCGTTATTCACCAAGGCAGATTTTTTCTTTTTTTTTTTTTTCCTCAGTCTTGGTAGGTTTTGGAACCAGCCCCTGTGACTCAGGGATAGCGCAGCTAAAGCCCTTCTGATTCTTTGCTCTTTGCCCTCCGGTGACACTGTGGGAACAGTCAGATATGCAACCAACACAGCACTTCAGGCTGAATATACCCCTTATTTACAGAGCCCTACACGCACTGAACAGCTTTATATACCCTATTCTAGCAACTTCTAGTGTCTGAAACTAAAAGTCATGGACAGGTCTGTGTGTTCCTCACATCCATAAGGATTGTTCTAGCATCCCAAGCACATTACATGGTTGCTCTGCCTACTGCACAAGTATTACGTTCCATGGGACTAAATTAGGATATGTCGGATTTTCCCCTCAAACTACTCTATTGTTTGTAAGAAAAGTCAATTTTTTTTTTAACTTTGTAAAATAAATATTCTCAGATTCTCGCCCGTTATTGCCAAAAATATAAGCCTAACACAGTTCTGGGATGGACACAGAGAGGGTTTCCAGGCACTTCTCTTTGCAACCTTTATATTTTTCTTTTTTCTTTTTTTTTTCCTTCCCCCGCCCTTTTTTTTTTTCCTTTTTTTTTATTTTCTTAAAAGAAGACAACAACTCATTGGACTCTATAAATAAAAAGTGGAGATAGTCCTGTGGAAAGGGAGAGGGGCCTGCACCCCTCGCTGGCAGGCGGCTGCAGTTCCTCCCACCTCGTCCTGTCCCCCTATTTGCACACAAACTGGTCCACGATCTCTGTGCACAACTTGCATTTCACGTAGCAGCACCAGTGGAACTTGCAGTGGCAGCGCTCCCTCTGCACCGTCTTGAACTGGTCGTACCCCCGGCCGCAGCACATGAGTTCACAGCCGTCCATGCCCTCCGAGGTCTTATTGCACAGGCGGCCCTGGGTGCCCAGGGAGCCGGTGCTCTCGTTGCGCACGCAGTAGTCGGGGCTGGGGTCGATGTACACCAGGTCGTGGATGGTGGGGGCGTTGAAGCGGCTGTTCACCTGCACCAGCTTGCCCCGGCTGTTGAGTTTCATGGCGGCGGCGCTGTCGTATTTCTCCTTCAGGGCATCGCCTACCTTGCGGAAATCGGCCAGCTGCAGCCAACAGGTCTTCAGGCTACAGGAACCGGAGACGCCGTGGCACTTGCAGGCCACGTCAGCCAGGTTGTACACCGTCTGGAGGAGTCAGGGAGAGAAGCAAAAATGATGATGAAAGACTAGCGTGGCTGTGAAAGCATTTATTCCCCTCATTTCCTGCCCTCTGTCGTATTCCCACTGGCCCTTCCATTGTATTCACCTCAACATTCTCTCCCCCTCCTCCAGTACACTGGGAAGGAAGAGCAAGTGAGCTGATACACATGCACCTCCATCACCCCAAACAGCCAGGAGGAGGAGGGGAGCCCTCTCACCAGCCTCTCCCCACCACCGAGACAGCCACAACAGCACACACACAGCCCAGACAGCAGCATCAGTCAGGCTGCGCTCAAATTTTAGGAATTTGCTCTCACGCCAGCAAAGGATTTTGCTGTTTCATTGAGAAATGTAAAACATCCCTTTATTTTCTATCTGAGTTACTCTCCCTATTGATCTCTGCTTGAGGCTGCAATTAGGGAAAGAGTTAAGATTCCTCTTGCTCCTGGCTCAGCTGCAGCTGATTGTCTACTCTTGGCTCGGCATCCTCCTCCTATCCCAAATACTGCTCTGGAAGAGAGACTTCATCCAAGAAGAAACCCCCAAACACCTATGGGTGGAAGACAGAGCTACATAGCAATATCCTCTTTACAAAGCTTTGGCAGCAAAACCTTAGTCATTTGCCCTGTACAAATAGAAATAAGAGTCAGTGTTGACACTGCCCCAAAAATCCTGGGGTCTGACACATTAGATGATACTGTAGACAACTTCCACCCAGCAGTTACAGAGAGTTTTAGCGCTGCCAAATGGCACTGCAAAGATGAGGTTGAGGAAGGAAAAACTGCTCGAGTCTCCGTAAGCAACTGTGAAAGTGTAATTTTTCTTCTTGGTAATAGTAATTGGCCTGTCCATTGCTTCCAGACACCTTCCTCTTACATTTAAATACTATTAATTTTCAATTATCTTTCATCCTTCTTCACCTTAGAACACAAGTGTAAAGTCTCCAGCCGACTATTGCTGGCACTTCAAGCTCTAGGAAAATAATGATTTTGGCTCTTCACATTGAGAGTATTAAAAAAAAAGAAAAGTTTACACCCATTCATTTAAGGCATTTTTGAGATTAAAGAAACCATAAAGACATGTTCAACCACAGAAGACCATGTTTCCTAATAGCATGGAGAAGCTCTTTTACATCCTCTTAAAGCAGGGAAAGAAAAAAAGTCAGAACAATCCTGCAGCACGATTCCAGCCTGGGAAGCCCAGCACATCCCTCCTCCTTCCAACACACACTGTCCTGGTTGGAAATACCAACTAATAAAATTCTGTTCTACAGAGAATCCACAGCAAGCAGGGCACTATTCATGAAACAATACAGAGGGAAACACAACAAGCTTTGGTTCCGGCCTCCCCCATGAGGAAGGCAATAGGACTGTCAGACAACCAGAAGCAACACAAATTCCTGTATTCCCCACCCACCCACACCCTGTATTTGCTGTCTTCTTGTTCTGTGCATCAAAACAAAGACAAGCCATGGTGGTTGGTCCATGCCTCACCGAGGCACATCTTTCCTGAAAAGGAGGGACGCGGAGGAGAGCGGAGTGAGATGCTGTTCTGCAGTCACTTACCCTTCTCCCAGCCTCGTTGTTGTGCAGGTTCATCATGATCCGGGCGCTCTCGTAGGAGCCTCGCTGGTAAACTCTCTCACGCTCCCGGGCGTCCACGAATTCCTTGGCAAAGCGGTATCCGTACTCGATGTTATCCCCGCAGCCACCCCAAAGCCAGTCCCGGGGCAAGTCCTTGGGCCGTGCAGCTCGGCTGCAGCCACAGGAGGAGAGCTCTCCCTCCCGGCAGGCGCGGCTCATGGCATTGACCACGCCGGCCGCGCTCACCGCGTAGGTGAACGCCGTCTCGCGGCTGCCTGCGCAGAAAGACAAGTGGTGTTAGGGGAGAGCCCACGCACACCGCTCCCTGCCCACTGAGGAGCTGGGAGGACAAAGGCTCTCCAGGAGCCACCAAAAACTGATATGCCTTCTAAAAGTTGGAGTAACCCTGAACCAAGCCCCCCAGAATGTCTCCACTCTGAAAGAACCAAGCAAAACCAACCCATTAGAGCACACACAGTGTTTGCGAAGAGCAGAATTCGCTCGTTATTCATGTTGGTGAAAGCCTGGATGAGAGGGCAGAAAGGAGGTGGGTCAGGGCTGGAGCACAATGCCAGCGGGGCCAAAGCGGCCATGCCTGCATGTGAGGGGCGGGAAGGGAAACAGGCTTCCTGTCTTTCAGAAGAAAGAGATGTTAAATACAACTTTTAAACGTCTGGTTCTTAAATTACTACTTCTCAAACATGATTGATGCACTTCACCCACTTGTTCCAATTTATTTAAAGTTCAAGCATTTTACAAAGCCTCCTGGTATCAAAAGAAACGTGCAGCAGAGCAACACACAACTTTCCACCCTACACATTAGCCAGACACTTCTGTAGGAGACTATTTAAAACTAACGACAACCTGTGCTGTTTAGTATCCACCACTTGAGCTCATGCGAATATGGCAAGTGAGTCCACGGACAATCATCTTTACAAATTACAGGGAAGCAAAAGCCTTTGGCACAAGGCAGCCTTGAAGGTTTTCTCCTGCATCTGGTGCCCTTAAATGGAAATGGAAAACCTCAAGTTTCAAACTTTCGGAAGAAAAAGCTACAATACCCACAACGTAAGACATGGCCACGTACCATCCTACTGACAGTATCTAGTCCCACCTTATTTAAAGTCTGACTTTCCCAAACACTTTTCCAAGGCTGCCACAAGTTACTACAACTAGCAAAGCTTTCAGACAAACAAACACAGAACTTGCACCAAAGAGCACACTTGAGGTTTGCTTTTCTTCTTAAGAGAAAGCATCCCAATGGGTCTTTTCAAGAAAGATTCCCAGAATGACTGAGAATAGACTAAATATTTTTTTTTCTGTTTATAAGTTAAGTTTTATTCCTAATGTTTAGTCCAATGAATAAATCAAGCTAGCTTTATTTTGATTTTACATGATTTTTCTCAAGGAACAGCATTGGCCTTCATAAAATTAGGGCAAGTTTTGGGCAAGTCATGTATATTCAGCCAGCAACATTTTGAGGCAAAAACTCTTTGTACAAGATGCACCATGACAGGTCAAATCTAGTAGGAGCTTTCAAGCACTTATGAAACATAAATAATTTGCAGTTTGGTCCGTATTTATTATCAAGATGACACCATGTTCAGAGCAGCTTTGTTAATATAACAGCTGTCCACTGGATTATTTTAGTAATAGATGCTGGTTTTAAATGGGAAAAATCAGAAATCTTATGTTGGGAAAGATGAGATTTAAGGAAGATGAGAAGCACTTTTCTACTTTAGTTACAATGATCTATTCTCACAGCCACCTGTTCATGGAGGTATTTACATGAATTATGGGTATAAAGGGTTACAGGAGTAGCCTTTTCAGTTAAAAATAATTGGCTTTATGCAGTGACTTAGGCCTTGCATTTACTGCAAACTATAGCAGGGGGAACCTCATACAGATTTTAACGTTCCCCTTTGCTCTGTAACACATATTTTTGGATTAATTTCTTAAGCAAAATTTCCACTAGATTGAGAGGAAAGAAACGTGGTCTGCTTTGGACCACAGGACTCACCTCTTCCGTTCCATTTTTGTTCTTTTTCATGTTTCGTCAGCTCACGCTTTCACATGGTTAACTATGTCTCCTATTGCAGGATTTAAACTCATAAAGCTGACTGGTTTTGACTAATTTTCATTATTAATTTGGAACAAATCTTGAAGAACTTACTCTTAGTGGGAAGGAGAAAGAAAGGCTGGGGTACAGAAAGGAGAGTTGCCCACAGTTTCCCTCCTTGAACATTAAGGCAAGTTATAAAATAGCATCAGCTGCTGAAGTAGATTTCAAGCCAACACTGCCTCAAGTCATCGACCTAGGAACACACTAAGAGTGATGGTTTCACATGGATGAGTTACTCTGACTTTTTTTTTTTTTTCAGTCTTCAGGCACAACTGTGCTTTCCTTCACTGTCAAACATATCTGTCTTTTCCCACAGTCCAGGATTTCTCTCTATTGTAGCCATGGCAAGGAAACACACATTCCAAACACGTTCAAGTCCCCTCTCTCCCATATATATAAAACATAGAAATGGAACTGTTCAATATACACACACTGTAGGAAGCCACCCACAGAGCAAGGAGCTGAGCTTTACACTTGATCTGAATAAGTCTGCAAGAACAGAACAACTTTTTTTTTATATACCTGAACAGAAGATACAAAACATTCTTTGTCTTGTACTTTAAAAGTATTCAACATCAGGCTAAAGGCAGAATAAACTGGACCCCAAGTACACGGAACTGTTGGGGGAGGACCCAGTTATTTTATTTTCTGTGTGCAAAGCCCAAGCACAGCCTGCCCAGAGCTGATGGGCACGAGATGGGGCAAGGTGGGGAAGGCAGGGAGGACCACGGCCTGACCTGGAAACCAGCAGCCAAGGAGAGCAGTGCAGAACACAAGTCCTAAAATTTTACAGTTCAATAAGCCACAGAGCAAGTTTCCAAATCCAATGCTAGGTTTATTTGTACAGCTTTAGCTAACTGTGCAGGGTAAATCCTGGAAGAAAGACTGTCCATTGACACATGGGGCCATGGCTGTGCTCTGGGGCAGTGCTGTGCCCGGGCGCTCTCTGGGGCACAGCCAACAGCAGATGGCAAAGCCCTCCCAAACAATGTGCATTCAGACCCTGGCTGTCACCTTGCACACTGGTGAGAGTAAGGAGTGTCTGACAGTGCCTGACACGCCAGGGTATGGCAGGCTGAAATAAATTGAATCAGGCTCTGAAAGTGCCCACTCTTCCTTCCCCTCAGAGGAATACCAACTGGTCATTACTGGGGGTCAGCGTGAAATAATACAACTGTCACCCACACCACTTTCCTTGCTCTCAGTGAACACACTCTTTACACTCTAATTCTTGAATATGGCTATTAACCTTGCTTCCATCTGCAATTAGAATAAGTGGCTTAATTACATGATGAATTGCTGTGTAGACATCAGCTAATACAGTCATATTCATCAGAAGGGTGCGGCAAAGTTATTAAACTTGAAAGAAACTACCTTTAAATAGACCTGTCATACTTGGGGAAGGCAGAAACAACTATTCCAGAGACAGACACCACAAATCATGAGCCCAATCATGAGCCCAATCCTGTATACTTCTTCACTCCAACAGTCCCCCTGAGCTAATTTTCACTTGCTTGGATAATAAATAAGGGCTGAAGGATGAAGGCCTAAATTTTAAATGGATTATTTTTCTGACATTTGTTAGATTACTAGAACAGAGAGGTGTACTGAAAAAGCTTTCTTTCATGTTACATGTGTTTTTAGACTTCTGCTCGGGTAAGGTAAAAAAACAAACTCTATGGGGGGTTAATACTGTGCTTGCAAAAAGCCTAGGGAAGGTTGTTTATCTAAAATCAGCTGTTCCAATTCGGTACTTCCACGCAATAGATTTTTTTCTATTTGTCTGACAATCTCCAAATAAAAACTTCTTTTAATAAAAATTGAGACCAAACGTGAATTGATATATTCCTTCAACTTTAACTGGAGTCAGCCCATTTACAGATAAAACCTAGACTGAGACCCATTTTAAAACTTTTTTGTTTAAAGCAGCACAGAAAAACACTGACATAAAAGCTTCACTTCACAGCTTCAACTAAAAAGCACTGCTGAGTTTGTCAGTGTATTGATCACTACTTAAAAAGATCACAGGTATCACCCAGAAAACAGGCGTTTTTCAGTTGATTGCAGTCTGACTTGGGAAAGTCAGAGGGAAGTTTCACCATGGATCCAACTCAACAGCACTGGTTAAAATTTTGCCAAGGCCTTTAAAATACGATGAGGTCCTTAAATGCCAGGAAAGGCAGGCAGCACATGAGCACTGGAGAAGCCCATTTCAAAGAGGAGCTGATAGGGAAAGAGTTGGGTGTCCACCTAATTGTGATAAGATGTTAAACAGGAATCTGTCTCTCTTTCCAGCAGTGTGATTACGTTAAAGGTGATTTATAAAGACAATCACATATTTTGCCCTGACAGAATTGCTTTCATAAAAATTGCCCTGCTACAGTACCTTAAAAATAAATCTGTTTTCTTTAAAAAGAGGAAAAAAACCCCTATATCTGGAAATAAGCAAGGAGGAATTGCCTATAAACACTAATCGACAGAGCAGCAATTTTCAGTTAACCTCTGGACCAAGAGCGATTTATTATGCAGCCGCTAACTTTGGAACTAGACATGGACATCTTTAATTTTACAAGACGCTGCTGGTTTTAATTCTCTTAGGTTGCCTTCGTTTTGTCTCAGGTTCAGTTAAAAAGAGATTTCAGGGCCTCATTTTCCTTTCTCCTCTATTCCCATATGCAAATACATATTCCTACTTTGTTTTCCAAGACACATGGCTGGACAGTGGTGGGAAATCACCTCCAGCTAAAAATAATCCAATTCCTTTGCCAACTTTTAAAAACACTTGATTGTATACAGTACTCAGTAAGAACCTGGCAAGAGCTTCAAGTGCAGAACAGTGTGTGCCATACATATCCTTAGACAAGAGTTTAATCATAAAGATGTTGCTTCCTACCTATCTGCATGACTCTGCCAAAAACAGAGTTGTTGTCCACAGTGCTGCAATTCCATCTTCTATGTCTGAACTGATACTGGCACTCCTTAATGCCCGTCTTTGCACCCTCTCCAATGAACTGCATATGGTCCTGATACAATTGGCAGAGTTTCTTCTGTCCTTGGGAAAGCCCTGCTAGCTGGCTACATAGTGGCTGGGCTCCTATTATATACACCTCTGACATCTGAACAGGGTTCATGGGGTTCATGGGATTCATCCCTAAAGACCTGCATAAAGAAAGATTTGGATTAATAAACAGAAGACTCTAAAATAAAATAAATTTTTTTTTTTAAATCTTTAAATCCCAAACAGAACTGTATCTTATACATAAGTATACAACTCCTGGTTTTGCTAATAGGTGAGAAAAAAAACCTAAACAAACTTAAATATGAAACTTCTGTTTTAAGGACAGGACAGAAATTATTAGTTCCCATCCATGTGGTTATCACCATATATTAGAGACTGAAGCAAGACCCAGACTTGGAAGACTTGCATCTAGGCAGCCCTTTACCAGCTTAAATTGGCATAGTAAAAATAACAGAAGCTCCAAACAATTGCAGGAAAATAAATAAAGCAAAAATGAAAAAAGTCCCCCAAACCCCAATTTGTTTTAACACATATTTTACATTTAAATCTGGACTTTTAAATCTCTTCTACTAGAAAAAAACAGGGAAACTTTTAGCAAGCCAGGAGTTAGAAACTTGCTACAGACCACTTCTAGCTTCTTCCGAATGACAACACAACAATACAGGCAAGTACATTCACTGTAAACAAAATCAACTTTGTTTTCTTAATTCTGAAAGTGCTCTTCACATGATATATTTCAATTAAAAAGTGGCCATTAATCCACAAAGGATCACTTGAAAACAGCAGAGAAACACCTATTTCAAGAACTCCCAACATTAAACTCTATACAATTTGCCAAAGCAGAAATTTAAATGTACTTCTTTGTAACTAAATATATTTGTAAACATTTGAGTTACAGAAAACTTCAAGCCAAAACTTTAATAAAAGTTTTTACTTGTAAATCAGCATTCTCTCTCATACATGCAAAATTTCTAAGTGACTTAAAATGGCTCTTTTAAAAGAGAGGCAATTCTAGTAATAAAAGATGATAAAATCCACAGAGAATCTACCGTTCAGCATTCTCAAAACTGTATTGTACAAGACGAGATGTTGCACATTTACCCTTATTCGACAGACCCGTTCATTTTACTACACAACGTACTACACCGAGCACACCACTCCCCAGCTGCCTCGCTCCAGCGGTACTCCCTCAGAAACAAAGTACATAAGAAGCACACAGACATTTAAGCAAGCAAATCTTGACACCCCCTTTTAAAATCAAGTCGATACGAGATGCTTACCACCAAGAGCTGGCTTCTATTACAACCTGGGTAAAAGAGGAGAAAACGGCCAGAGCCACTACGAGGTACTGAGAAGCCATTGTACTGCCAACTGTCCCCACTGCACCTCCGTGGATTAATACTGCACTGGATTTCTAGAGGGGGGAGAAAAAGGATCAGATTGTTTATTGCTCCTCAGACCATTTTCGAGCATTCAAGTTTAAACAACGGAAGTCTCCGGGCCCCTTTTAACTTGACTCTGCCTCGCCGGCCCTTCTCCCCGCCGAGGCTCTGGTGCCAGACTCAGGCACGTCGCGGCTCCCGCTCCACCGGGCAAAACCCACCCCCGCACCCCCACCCCGCCCGCGGACACCGCCTTCCCGGGGCGGCCGCCCGTCCCTCTGCCCCGGCCCCGCCGCTCCCGCACCCCGCCCGCGGCGGGACGGCACCGGACGGGACGGAACAGCGGCCCCGGACACGGGGGACCCCATCCCCGCTGCCCCGGGGCGACAGGCGACGCGCGGGCCCCGGGCCGGGCATTACCCCATCGCTCCCCGCGCCGAGGCCAGCTCACGGCTGGCTAAAGGCGGCTTCAGGTTTGCAAAGCGAGCGCAAGAGGGAGGGAAGAGGCCAGTGCCTCGAGGGGTCGGTTCCGCGGGGGTCCCGACGGCTCCCACCCGGGGACGATGCGGCCGGTCCTCGCCCTTCCCCGCCGGCCGTGCAGGGAGCTCCCCGCCGTCCCCTAAACCATCTCGCCGCAGCCTCCGGGCTCCCGCTGTCCGCGATCGCCGAGGCAGCGCCGAGCTCCGCGCTGGCGCCGCGGTGACTGCCCCGACGGCAGCCCCGGGGCCCCGCCGGGGCAGGTACCGGCCCGGGGAGGTACCAGGAGCGACAAGGAGCGGCTCCGCGTCCCGACCAGGCCTCCGCAACAACCGGACTGCCGTCTTGGAAGTCAAACGCTTCCCCCGACAGGTCCCGCGATCACCGTCTGGTCCTCACACGGGACTCTCTCACTCGCTACCCACAGCCATTCCCGGGGTTTATTTCCCCTCCCCTCGGAAGGGGGGGGGAAAAAAAAAGAAAAAAAAAAAAGAAGAAAAAAAAAAGGACATTTCGACACTTGGGGGCTCCCTATTCCCTATTCATTCTCCAAAGGCCCTTAACGCTGAATTGAAGGTGCTCTTAATTCTAATTTATTTCTGTTTGCGAAGGGCCGGGAGGAGCGGAGCGCTGGCGGCGGGACCGGACACGGAACCTGCCCGAGCACACGCGGGAAAGCTGCCACAGCGTGGGGACCCACATGCGCCGGGGCTGCAGCCCGGGGGCGAAGCCTCCCCGCGCCGTGCGGGTTAAACATCTCCTGCGCGGGGGAGTTGAGCCCCCCAGCTCAACTTGGGGTGGGTAAATGGGGGGGGGGGGCGTAAATGGGGGCCGGTCTCCCGCAATCCCGGGGCTCAATCCCGGGAAAGGTGCGAAAGCCGAGAGCGTATTGAGCGACGGACGCGGTGTGCGCGGGGCAAGCAGCGACATCCAACATCCCACAACGTGTTGGGCTTTTTTACGTCTTTTAGTTCTTAGAATAATGGCAGTAACAAAGAAACGCCATGGAATTGCCCGAGCCCCGAGGAGGTTGGAGTCGCCGGTGCCCATGCGGGACCCCAAGAGCTGTGCAGCTGCCCGGCCCGGACGCGCCGAGCTGCCTCGACGGGGCGGGCGGCCGCGGAGGGAGCTGGTGACCGGGACAGCGCCGGGAGCTGCAATACCCGGACGGCGGGGCCAAAGGGCACTGCCCTTCCAAAGGGCCTGGGTGCTCCCCTGGGCTTGGCCGTCGCTGCGCCGGAGCCCCCGAGCCCCGTGGCGGCGGCCCCCGGGGAGCTGTGGCGTCCCACTCCCAACAGGGGGCGGCCGCGCTCGCCGCAGCCCCGGGAGGCGACGGAGCCGGGCGACTTCTGCCCTTCCGACGGCACCTCCCGCGCCTCATCATCGCCGCAATCGCCCTCCTCGTCCTCTAACTGCGGCGCTGAGTAGCGAAGCGGAGGAGGCACCTGCGCCCGGGGCCGCGGGCGGGGGCCTGGCCCCTCCAGCCCGGCCCTTCTGAACCAGCGACTGACAAGCTGCCACCAGAAACAACACACACAAAAAAGCCAACAGTTAAAAA